CCCCAGTGCCGCGCCCGCATGCGTCAGCCACACCCAGTTCGGCACACCCCTCACACGTTTCGTGGCTCCATAGGGAGCTCCACCGAAGGCCCCAGTGCCTGCGCCCGCATGCGTCAAGCCACACCATTTCGGCACACCCCTCACACGTTTCGTGGCTCCATAGGGAGCTCCACCGAAGGCTCCAGTGCCCGCGCCCGCATGCGTCACCCACACCCATTTCGGCACACCCCTCACACGTTTCGTGGCTCCATGGGGAGCTCCACCGAAGGCCCCAGTGCCCGCGCCCGCATGCGTCAGCCACACCCATTTCGGCACACCCCTCACACGTTTCGTGGCTCCATAGGGAGCTCCACCGAAGGCCCCAGTGCCCGCGCCCGCATGCGTCAGCCACACCCATTTCGGCACACCCCTCACACGTTTCGTGGCTCCATAGGGAGCTCCACCGAAGGCCCCAGTACCCGCGCCCGCATGCGTCAACCACACCCATTTCGGCACACCCCTCACACGTTTCGTGGCCCCATAGGGAGCTCCACCGAAGGCCCCAGTGCCCGCGCCCGCATGCGTCAGCAACACCCATTTCGGCACATCCCTCAAACGTTTCGTGGCCCCATAGGGAGCTCCACTGAAGGCCCCAGTGCCCGCGCCCGCATGCGTCAACCACACCCATTTCGGCACACCCCTCACACGTTTCGTGGCCCCATAGGGAGCTCCACCGAAGGCCCCAGTGCCCGCGCCCGCATGCGTCAGCCACACCAATTTCGGCACACCCCTCAAACGTTTCGTGGTCCCATAGGGGGCTCCACCGAAGGCCCCAGTGCCCGCGCCCGCATGCGTTAGCCACGCCCATTTCGTCAACTCCCTCACACGTTTCGTGGCCCCATAGGGAGCTCCACCGAAGGCCCCAGTGCTGCCGCCCGCATGCGTCCCGCACACCCATCCCCTTCACACGTTTCTTGGCTCTATAGGGAGCCCCACCGAAATTGGTAGTGTCAACTGCGGTATTCACACCTGCACATGGTTGGGTCCTTCGTCAGGCTAATTTTATTTTGCTTCGGTATTTTTGGGGTATTTTTTTTATTAAAAATTTCGTGTAAAATCCGCATGTATGGGGGACATGCCCGACCTCATCCTACCGATCAAAAAACACGAGACCGACGTTCCCCTCACCGCATTGACGTTTCGGTATCGTCGATGCAAAATGCGCAGCAGGAGTGGGACGTGGGGCACATCACGCGCGAAGTGGCAGAGTACCGCTCTCGCTCCGGGGCCATGCTCAGATTCCTTGACAGGTCAGCACCCGATTGGGCGCGGCGCGCCCTCTCGCTCGTCACTTCGTCGACGGCAGGGTCGCGCGCGCGGGAGGGCGGAATGTCGCTCTCGCCTTGGCGTCGCGCAGGTTTTGCCTGAAAGTGGCGCTCCTGGCGGGGCGCGGTTCGTATTTGCCGCTCGCCACGTCGATGGGGGGGGCCCGTGTGCGAGCGGGCGACTGGTCGCCCTCGCCCAGACTCGGTGCAGATTTCGCGCGACAGCGGTTCCCGTCGCCGCCGCCCGGCCAGCAAGCAAAGTTGTGTTCTCGCCCCGAAGCGTCACGCGCTTGTGCAGATGTAACGCTGCTTCGGGCGAAAACAGAGCTAAATAGCGTCTTCGCTGCAGCACTGTAAGCGGGACCGCACGCGAACACCTTCCCTTTGCTAGGTGGGGACGCCCGCTACATGTCGGAATATTCGGAGATTTCGTTTCCACTTTGGCCCCCAGGACCTTCAATCAACTATCCGAGATGGGAAATTCACCCTTACGCTGCGCAACACTAGAAACCTGAATACAGGTGGCAGTGTAACGACCAGCGTGACTAGTAGTCCACACTGTCGTGCTTTCAACGAGCGCGCTTCTGAGATTTGCCTGTCCATTATGATTGACAAGCTGGAGAGTTTTTGGCAAACTTCGGAAGATCCTTCACCCAAGCTATCTAGAGCAGTTCCTTCGCCCGGGTTCTGAGCTGACACGTTTTGGTGGTGATCGAACGTGCCAAACTTAACGCATGCCTTTTCTGCGTGCAATGTAACGGGTGCGAGTCCGCAGGCCAGGGGTCAATACAAATCCTTTTTTGTTGATTGTCGATAGCTTTGATTTCAACGTACCTGAGATCATGCGATTGGGAAGGCCTTACGGCCGATGCCGCCGACCCTGAAGGGGGACGGCGACGACGACGGCGGCGGCGGCGGCGAGGTCGACGTCGCTGACGCCCTGGAGTCCTTCGTGGGGCTCTCTTTGCAGCCTCTTGGGCTCTGTTGGGTGCCAGGGCTGAGGTCAGGGCCTGCGCTGGGGCCTTGGCCGAGGCCAGGGCACGGGGCGAGGCCGGGGCCAGGATCTGAGAGCATACGAGTCCTGAACAGAGCGCCCAGCGTCATCCATGCAGGTTTGCACAATCTGCGGTTCCACCAAGCGGGGTAAGGCTTCGGCACACGGAGAACTTCCTCAGGTTTGTTCTTCAGTTTCGCTGACCTTCTTCGTATTTTTGGTGACGAGCTGAGCTTTAGCAGGCACGTGCATGCTATCCTCGGACACTTAGGGTAAACAGTCACGACTGTACACGCGTGCAACAATATGCTGTACAACATCGTGAACGTGCTTCTAACGGTCTCCGAGTGTGGCGTGTAAAACAGCACATCTTCAGGCAAATTCCGAAGCATCATGGTTTCCTCCGGTTGTCTTGATTCTTCATTGTGCCAGCATAGTGCCCAGATCGTGCACGATACCGCCCTACCGCCCTCTTCTGGACAAATGAATTGCAAACGGTAGACGCGGGATATGGATGCCAACATCTTCCATGACATCAGTCGACCAAAAAGCAAGCGACACCACCCCACCTACGATCCTCCATGTTGCGCTACGGCCCATCGGGGGCCGTAGCGCATACCACGCAAAACCCACGCCAGATTTCCTGGTGTACGCTAAGCCCCGTGAGGATGTAGGTGGGATGGTGTCGTTTCTTTTCTGGTCCTATCAGTGCAGTTTCGTGGGACTCAATGAGAGTCGTGAACCTTCTGCAGCAAATGTTCGCCCTGCCCTGGTCCGTATCCCAACCTGCAGCACCCTAAACCCCCCCCCCCAAAACTTGCACCATGTGCCGGTCTTCCCGACGAGTCCGTCGACCTCTTGGGACAACGGCGTGTGCGACCTATTCCTCCGAGGGAGTATTGGCTGATTTTGCGGGTCAGGTGAGGGGGGAGATGGGGGGTGGACGGCTACGGCAGACTATTCAGGGTTCAGAACTGGAGCTTGGGTTTTCGGGCCGTTCCTCCGATCTAGGTAGGGTGGCGTATTCATGGCCGAGGCTCGCCGTGGCCAGAAAGCCTCTTTGTTCCATCTGTGTCGCTCCTCGTGGTGGTACGATGGCTGTAGTTGAGAGAACAGGATCGGGTAGATAGTCTATGAGACAAGGACATCGTGTACCCAGGCACCAGGCAGCAAACCCTCCACAGTCCCCCCCCTCCGACACCAAGGACTTCCTCCTCCTCCTCCTCCTCTTTCTTCTCCTCTTACTTCTCCTCCCCCCCCTCCTCCTCCTCCCTCCTCCTCCTCCTCCTCCTCCTCTGCATCATCATCATCACCACTACCACCACCACCATTACCACAACCACCACCACCATCATCAGCATCTTCACCACCATCATCATCGTCACCACCATCACCACCATCATTCCCATCACCATCAACATCATCATCATCATCATCATCATCATCATCATCATCATCATCATCATCATCATCATCATCATCATCATCATCATCATTACCACCATCACCACCATCACCGCCATCACTACCATCACCACCACCATCACCATCACCATCACCATTATCATCATCATCAGCATCATCATCATAATCATGGTCGTCATCGTCATCGTCCTCGTCATCGGCACCATCACCATCACCATCACCATCATCATCATCACCATCATCAGCACCATCACCAGCACCCTCACCATCACCATCACCACCATCATCATCACCATCATCATCATCATCATCACCATCATCATCATCACCATCATCACCAGCATCATCATAATCATCAGCAGCAGCATCAGCATCAGCATCAGCATCAGCATCAGCAGCAGCATCAGCATCAGCATCACCATCAGCATCAGCATCAGCAGCAGCATCAGCATCAGCAGCAGCATCAGCAGCAGCATCATCAGCATCAGCATCAGCAGCAGCAGCAGCAGCATCAGCACCATCATCTCGAACCTGCGCCGTGCGTCGACAAGGCAGCGCAGGAGGGGCCGCACGAGCCCAGGGGAGGAGCTCCCTGCCTGGCCCCCCCCCCGCCCTGCGGGGAGTCCCTGAGGTGCCTCTCCTGCCTCGCTCCTGGCCGGGGATGGAGGGACGGAGTCCGTCGGGGCTGGGACTCGGCGGGGGCCGAGGCTTCCGGGATGTCTCTCCAGGGGTCTGCTGGCGTGCCCCTCGGCTCCCGGACGCTTGTTCGCGGCAGGGGTCGTTCGTTTCTTCGTTCGTTCGCCCACCCCCCTTGTCGGCTTGTCGGCGCCAGGGATCTCGACCCCCTCTGGCTGGGGCCTGTCCTGGCTGGCCTTTCCCCCTGGGATTTCGAGAGGCAGCGGGGGGGCCCACGTGTCGGCCGATAGGACTCGTGAGAGCGAACGACTCTGAAGAGAGCCAAGCGGGCCCCAGAGGCTCCAAGTGGCCTGAAGCGGGCCCCCAAAGGCTACAGGAAGGCCCCCAGAAGAGCCCCGGACGGCCAGCATTATCCGAGAGGTTGAGGAACTCCTGATGCTTTCTGGCATCTCCCGCTCCTCCTGTCTTCCGTTCTCTGCCAGGGCGGCGTGACGGCGACGGTGGTGACGGCGACGGCGACGGCGACGGCGACGGCTGCAGCGACGACGGCGACGACGACGGCGACGACGACTGCGTCGGCGGCAGCGGCGGCGGCGGCGACGGCGGCAGCGACCCGGCGGCAGCGGCGGCGCGACGCGGAGGACAGCGCTGCGCCGGCGGAGCCGCCAGCGGCAGCGCCGGGCGAGGGCGAGGACGGCGAGGGCGCGGGCGACGGTGGGCCGGCCGGCGCTGGCGCTCGCGGTTCCTCCGAAGGCTGGCCGGGGGTCGGGCGTTCCTGGCGATAGCCCTCGCTCGAGGGAGGAGGCACGGGGACCAGGGCCGAGATGTCGCGGAGTCTCGTCGATGCCGATCCTTGTCCTGGTCCACGTCGGCCGTCGCCGACTCGCGAGGATGATCCACATATTGACACTTGCGAAGATGGACAGTAACCAAGATCGACACGACATTTCCGCGTGCAGTCTTGGCCATGGTCCCCGCTTTCTTCCTCTTCAGTCGGATGGCGTTCGAGTGGTCTCGTCTGCTCTCGGACCTCTTCGCCGCAGCCTGCTGACCCAGACCCCACCCGCTCACTCCTCCCCTCCGCGGCCGCCCTGCCCCCCCTTTTTCTCCCGCCTCTTGCCAGGCTCAATTCGCCGCTCAGCGCCCCTCAGCCTTTCGACCGACCCGCGCGCCCGACGGGCTTGCGGATCAAACGCTTGTTCTCGGACCTGCTTGCTGGCTTCAGTTTTCGGCGGCCTACGATTTCGGGATGCGCTCTGGCAGCTGCGCACCGCCGAGAGCGGCCCCGGGGTGCCCGAATGGTTCCGAACGGCCGCCAGGGACCCGAGTCATGGCCCGAAAGCCAGACGAGCTCTGGCGCGCGGTTTTCGGGGGGCGCGGGGGGGGTGGGGCAGGAGGGGCCGGGGCTAAACCCGAGCGCGCAGGTCCTCTTACTGCTGCGCTGTACGCAGCGATCTCCATGCCGCTCCTCAGAGGCCACTCCTGCCTGGGGCCACTCTTGCGCGTAGCCGACGCTGGAGGTGGCCCTTGCCCAAGGCCACCCGGCCTGTCCACGGAGGGCCTGGGGGCGCCCTAGGCCAGGGCGCTCCTTCTGCCGAGGCGTTGCCGCGCCCTTGCCCCCGTCCTCCCGCGCGGTCGCCGTGACTCGCCGCCGCCACCGCTGTCGCCGTCGCCATTGCCCTCGCCGTCGCTGGCGCCGTCGCCGTCGTGTCGCCGTCGCCGGCGCCGCCGCCGTCGCCGTCGCCGTCGCCCTTGTCGCCGTCGCCGTCGCCCTCGCCCTCGCCCTCGCCGTCGCCGTCGCCGCTGCCCTCGCCGTCGCCGTTACCGTCGCCCTCGCCGTCGCCGTCGCCCTCGCCGTCGCCGTCGCCGTCGCCGTCGTCGTCAACGTCGCCGTCGCCATCGCCGTCGCCGGCGCCATCGCAGGCGTCCGGCGCCATCGCAGGCGTCCGGCGCCATCGCCGTTGTGGTCGTCGTTTGCAGCCTCCAGGGGCCCCCAGGGGTCTCAGGAAGCTTCTGGAGGCTCATGAAAGGGGTGAGGGCCTTCATCACGTTACGACAGAGTGGGAGCATGCCAAGCAGAGTTTAAAATTCGAAAGACCGAAGACGTCCTAAACCCAGTGCCTTTCGGGTGAGTTCTTTTGGTGGCCTAGAGCTGCGCCTCAGAGAAAAGGCAGATGTTGTTCTGACTTCTGCTGCAAATACTCTGATATTGGCGTCGTACCCACATGAAGAAATCGCAGAGCAGAAGGCAGCCATACACCACCATTTCTCTCTCACCAGGACTAAGCTGGGCCCTGGGATGGTGTTGCAGGAGATTCGCACGCCGTCCGGGGGCTCAGGATGGCTCTGGCCAGAGGTGGTGGTGGTGGTGGTGGTGGTGACGTACAGGTGCCTTCTGCGGGTTTAATGGGCGACAATCGGCGGCGAGCGAGGGGGGAAAGTGAGAAGGGGCGTTCCTTCTCAGAAGGCTCAGAAGTCCCCTGGCCTTCTGAGAGGTTTTCTAAGCCTTCCCCGAAGACACAGAAGACTTCCCAGAAGGCGCAAGGGCTTCAGAGAAGCCGCGCCGCCTTCTGAGAAGGCCTTCTCCTTCTCACTTCCCCCCCCGTCGCTCGCCGCCAAGACAAGCGAGAAGGAAGTCTTACGCAGGAGGCCGCAGCGGCCTCACGCGGTGGCTGCCCCAGGCGCGCTGGCGCAGCACGCCCACGCGCGACGCGCGTCCCTGCGCGGGCCGCTTGCGCGTGGTCGCCCGCGCGGTCGAGCCTCCTGGCGCCTCCGTCGCTCGGGCGAGGAGCGAGGCCCTGCCCGGCCCCGAGGCCTCCCCACCGGACGGGGTCCTGGAGCCTGTTTTTTTTTTTTTTTTTTTTTTTAGTTTGGGCGATAGCGCTCGTGATGGCCCCCGCCCCCCCCCCCCTTCCTCCCGATCACGTCACGCTGTTTCCCCCCCCCCCCGATCACGTCACGCTCATTTCTTCCTCCTCCCGAGGGCCCGGGGGCTCGAAAAAGGCACCGGGGAGGCCGAAACCCGCCGTGATGTGATCGGGGGGGGTCACCCCCCCCCCGTCCCCGATCACGCCCGTTATCGCGGATGATACAAAAACAGGCTCCTGACGGAAACGGGTCCTGAGGGTTCCATCGTTAAGTCGGGTTAACAACAGTGAAAGATCGCCTGGGGACAATTGCTCGTTTTTTGGCTACAGTTTTGCGTATCGTTCGACATTTTTCTTGCATTTGTCTACCAAGATCCGCCTGTAGGAGGACATGCCGGACCCAATTCTATCGGCGTTACCCAAGCATGCTGATACTGTGTGTGTGTGTGTCTGTCCTGCGCCCTGTCTCCCTAATGAAAGCTGCGCGTAGCCCGCCTAGCTTTTAGCGGAAGAGGTTCGCTCTCTCGCTTCTGCCCCGGCTTTGGGTTAGGTCGGGCAAGGGCATAGGGGGCTGACGGCGGAGCGGGGGGAACCGCGTGCGCTCGGCGTTTCCCCGAAGAGAGCGCGCGCCGACCGCGGCCCCCCTCCCCCGCGGAACGTGCGCTTTGCGAGCGCGGCGAAAGCGCGTGTTATTCTGCCCACCCACCCGCACCTCTCCTCTCGGTGAGCATCACAGGGATTGCCACCGCGCAGGGGTGACAGCGCGATCGAATCGCGCTGTGTGCGGCGCAATGAACGGGCGACCCTCGCGTCGCGCAGGCCAGCGCCTGCTTCGCAGGGTCGCGCTGGGGGGCGGGGCGGCCTGGCCCTTTCCCCCCTCGGCGCGATCCTGGCTCGGCTCTTCCCTTGCGGCACTCCCCCAAGCTTTTGCCGCATATAAGCAGCGCGTAGAGAAGGGGGGGGGGGGGCCCGCTCGCCGTCGGGCCCCGCCGACCAACAAGTGTGTGTGTGTGTGTGTGTGTGTGTGTGTGTGTGTGTGTGTGTCTGCGTTTCCTCTGAGACGGGGCGACGCGCGCGCCGAGGAACCTCATCGTAGTATCTGCTCGGTGGCGGGTGTTTTCTGGATATCTCGCTCGGGAAAGCGATGCACCACAGGGCGTTTGTGTGACAGCTTCGGTTCGGACGGGCGCCTCCAAGAGAAACTCAAGGGAGGAAAAACCACCCGGACCCGAAAATTGCCGCTTACTAAACGGCCCTGGGCGTCTACTAAACAGACCTGCTAAATAGACCTGCCCTGTTCGATTCCTTTTTTGGGTGTGTTTACCAAAAGGCCTCGCTTGTCGGGGCAGCTATGATGGGGGTGGATGTTCTGCCCTCTAGAAACGTAGTGTTGGCATGCCCTTATGCGTCCCGTCCTAGACCCCTGGCGGGGTCTCTCCGAGGACCAGCTCTTCGTCCCGAGTTGCTTGCTGACGGCCCCAGTGCCCGTGGAGGACCTTGCGGAGACCCGACACAGGCGAAGAATCCTAGGGACCCCGTTCTTTTTCGAAGGCAAGCGCTCTCGAATGCATGAGGGCAGCATTCTCTCACAGCGAAATACATACCTCCTTCAGCATTCTGCTTGTCCTCCTGGACCGAGGCAGGGTCATTTGGCTCTCGGAGCGTACCCCCTCTGGGTGGGGGTGGGTGCCGCGAGCTCCGAGAGAGGCGGCACATCCGTCCCCATCTGGGACGGAGCAGGTCGGCCAGCCGGGCCAATGCTTCCGCAGTCTGTGCGCGTCCACAGTTCCCAGGCATCCACAGTTTTTCTCAACCATCCTGTGGTGTTGGGTCCTCGTTTTGAAGAGACGGTGCCCCG